GGAAAGAGAGAGAAACAAAGTGGGAAATCACTCCCAGGGAAATAACCACTCTTCAATCCTTCAAGTGTTATTTTCAAGCCACCAGGTCCAGGACTTAAACCATGCAATAAGCCATCTGGGATCCAGTGCCTTAACCTCTACTCCACCTGCTGGCCCTGGCCTAAAGTTTTTTTGTTTTCTTTTGTTTTATTATCATAGGGCATATGTGCTCACTGGAGAGAGAGACAGAGAGAGGGAAAGTGAGAAATCACCCTAAGGAGAATGGGCATGCTATAAATCCTTCTCATGCTATAATTCCCCTCTTGGGATTTTGGGCATACATGCACACACAACCCGACATAATTTTCTTCTTTTCTTTTCTCTTTTTTTCTCTTCTCTTCTCTTCTCTTCTCTTCTTTCCTTTCCTTTCCTTTCCTTTCCTTTCCTCTCCTTTCCTTTCCTCTTTCCTTTCCTCTTTCCTTTCTTTTCTTTTTTTTTTTTTTAGAGATTTTTTTGCTATAGAGTACATGTGCTAGCCAGAGAGACAGAAAGTGAGAAATCTACCCCCCAGTGGGGATGGCCATGCCGCAATCTCTTCCTCTTCATTGTCCTCTTGGGATCTTGGGCACACGTGTGCATGTGGCCAGCATGAGTTTTAAGCTGTCGGGTCTGGGACTTGAACCAACTACGTGGGAGACCAACAATGAAAGCATTATGTCATCTGCTGGTCCCAATCCCCAGCATGATTTTCAAGCCATCAGGTCTGGGACCTGAACCACACAATCGGCCATGTGGGGTCTAGTGCCATAACTTCCATGCCACCTGATGACCCTACTAAGGTGTTTTAAGCAGAAACTACCACTAGCTGGAAATCTGTATTGGGGGGTCTCTGAGGTTGGCCACTTACGTTTGGTGCAGACAATTTGGGGCTCATCCCACTTGCCGTTGCTCCGACACCGGATGGTGGCCACATGGTGCTGAGCAAATCCCTCTTCACACTGGTAGCGGACAGTGGCGTGGACGTTGTACTTGGCTTTACGGGCACCAATGAGCGAGGCGTTCTCTACTGCTGGAGGGGCACCACACAGCACTGGGAACGAGGAATCTCTAGTTAGGAAAGTGGCCATGGTGGTTAAGAGCACTGGACTCCCACATGGCCGATCACGGTTCGAGTCCCGGACCTGGTGACTTGCTTTCTCACTTTCTATCTCTTTCTCTTTCTCACTCTGTCCCTCTCTGGTCAAATTAAAATAAAATAAATAAAATTTCACTTTATTTTTTAAAAAATTTTCACTTTATTGGGAACCAGCAGTTAGCGTAATGGCTATGTCGCTGGACTCCCACGTAGTCGACCGCGGTTCGTGTTGCTCCTCTCTCCTGTCCTCCAGGTCGTCATGAAGGTCGACATCGTGTACGAGAAGGAGATGCTCTATCTGTACGTGCTGAGTGGTGTCGGGGGGCTGTTGCTGCTGCTGCTGATTTTCCTAGCGCTGTACAAGGTGGGAGCTTCTGGAAGTAACTGGCATTGCAAGATAGCCAGGCTGGGGGAGGGGAATTAGCAGGACCGGGGAGGAGGATGCCAGGACCAGGGAGCGTTAAAGCTAGGAGCACTGGGCACAGTGGTGCATGCCTACGGTTCCAGCTACACGGAGGCTGAGGCAGGAGGACTGTGAGCTGGAGGCCAGCCTAAGCAACATAATAAGAGCCTGTCTCTAAAATAAAACTTAAAAAAAAAAAAAGACTAAAAGAGACCTCAGCCTACTCTCTCCTATAGATAATGCAACTGAGGCTCAAAGAGCAAGCAAGACTTTTCCATCTTCACTCGGCCCAGCACACATCACCCAGTGTGGTTTTCTTTGTTTATTTTTATTTATTCTTTAGAGAGATTTTTGCTATAGAGTGTGTGCATTCACCGGAGAGACAGAAAGTGAGAAATCACCCCGTGGGGAGATGGCCACACTGCAATCCCTTCTTCTCCATTCTCTTGGTTTCTTGGGCATGACGCACAGGGGCCTGGCTTGAGTTTTAAGTCGCAGTGTCTGGGACTTGAACTTCAGTCAACCACGTGGGAGTCCAGTAACGTAACCATTACAACACCTGCTGGTACCCCCAGTGTGGTTTTCAAACTACCAGGTCCAGACTCAAACTGTGGCTGACCATAGGGTAGGAATGCAGTGCTTTAACCATCATGCTACCCGCTGGCCCCAGCACCTCATATTTTTAACCCTGGTAGTTTTCGGCTCTTCAGATGCCCCCACTTTTATTTGACGAATTCCCTGTTGATGAACATTTAGATTGTTTCTCTTTTTAAAAATTATTTCATTTAACTTTATTTATTCATTCATTTATTTATTTCAATTTGACGAGAGAAGGACAGAGTGAGAGAGAGAGAGAGAGAAAGTGAGAAAGCAAGCCGCCAGGTTTGGGACTGGAACCACGATCTGCCATTTGGGAATCCACACCACCTGCCAGTCCCAAGATAAATAAAATAATTCTTTAAAAAAATGACTTAAGGGACCAGTAGTTGGCGTAATGGCTAAGTCACTGGACTCCCCTATAG